CGGGTGCAAGTAGATAAATAGGGACCGCTTACTAGCGGGAAGGTAAACGGCGTTTCCGTGTGCGGCTCTGGCTCGCCAGAGTAGCTTCGTCACGCTGGCCACGTGACCCGGAAGTGTCTGCGGACAGCGCTGGCCCCCGACCTCTTGAGTGAGATGGGCGCACAACCCTAGAGTCTGTCAAGACTGGCCCGTACGGGCAGGGGTACCTTTACCTTTACCTATGTTAACAGAAACGTGTGCTGCTGAATTGTCATGTCTTAAAATATTGTATTTACAAGTGTTCTAATAAAAATAATTTCTAAATAAAGTTCAGACAAGTCAGGAACGTGCATGCACACATATTATTATGTTTATTATTTATTAAATTTGTATATTGCCTGATACCTGTAGATCTCAGGGCAGCTCATAATATATAATCACAATATAAAAAACCACAAAATACATAATCAAAACAGGAACAAAGACAACCAAATAATCTCCACTTCCACAACGTATTTTAAAAGGGCATCAGATCTCAATCAGCCAAAGGCCTGGTTAAAGAGGAATGTTTTTCCCTGGTGCCTAAAGATGTATAAAGAAGTTGCCAGCCAAACCTCCCTGGGGAGAGCATTCCACAAACAGGGAGCCACTGCAGAAAAGGCCCTTTCTCATGTTGCCATAAACAGTGCACATTAGATTATCATGGCCTTCCCAGAGGGCCCAGGTACTACCAAGTCAAAGCAATAGGATCCAGGAGCTATTGCCCTGTATATCACTACAGTTGCCCTTGCAGCCCAAACACATGATTATGTTCTCCTGTTTTAAGTTCTCCCAATTAACACTGTTCAATTTAATGAATATTTATTGTTCCACCAACTAAATATCAGGGATATTTACTTTCTCCCTCACTGAAACAGTAATTTTCTCAGTAGCTACCAGCCCTTGCTTGTAGTATATTTTGGATCAGTCTTCAAGCAAGTGGTCTTGCTTAGCAGCCTGGTCCAGAGAACCAAAACAGAGATGCCTCTCTTGTCTAAGCAAATGTAAATATGCTATGATTAACTACATGGATCACATGGTTTGGGATTATGCTTCTAGTCTGCGTAAAGGCTCTATTTAGTTACAACCCTTATGTTCTCATTGTAATAGCAACCAGTAATGTTTGCTCCAGTAATCTAAGCTTCAAAATAGAAATCCAATTTAAAACAAGTCCATTTTCTGGATAATGATTTAACTCAAGGCAATTTAAATATCATATTTCAAATACAGCCAATTGTGACATGATGCAATGCATTCTTTTTCCTATGTTGCTTCTGGGATTCCTTGTTCATCCTAAGAACTATTACCACAGTTCCTCTTCCCCAAAGCAGAAGAAAATTAAGGTTAGCTGTTAGGCATGTTTCCATCAGAAAAGAATGTACTGGAGTCTTATAAACGTTGTTGATTCTTTAAAAAGAGAGAGAGAGAAAGAGAGAGAGAGGTTGCACTTTCTCCAGCACCCTGGTTAAAGAAAGAGTTTTGATTAAAGCAACATCAGCCCTATTTCCCAAACACCTCCAATTCTACAATGCTGTTCTTTTTACTCCTTTGTCACCATACTGGACAAAGCATTTTATTATATTTTATATTATTTTATATTTTATATTTTTAGGAGCTACAGCCTTCTCAACCTGCAAATTCCAAGGTAACATAAGACAAAGAGGCTGAATCGCTCCCTAGGGTCCACTGTGCTTCAGCAATTACCAGGTCATACCTAAAAGGAAGCTTTGCTTGACAAGAAAGCATGGCTCATGACATCACCTTACTGTTGTTGCATAGCCCAAAATTTAGAAAACGTATCTCATTCCTCTTGGCTATTGAGAAAATGATACAAAGAGTGCCGGATTTTAGAGCTATCAAGGTACAGTATCAACAGGAGTCTTGCTCTGACAACCACAGTTAATTTTCCCTAGAATATGATAGTGCAGTCCTTTAGAGTTACTCCTTGTTGTACCATAGTTCCCAGAAGTCTCTACAAGGGGGGGGAGGCAGGAAGCAGAGAGCTAGCTGTGTTAAGAAAGATACAAATTAGAACTGTTACAGAAAGAAAGACAGTAACAGTTCGCTGCCTAAAGTGATTTCATAATTAGACAAAACTTAAACATGCAACAAAGAATTTCCAAAATTATTACACGCCCACAAAAGATGGATTACGGAAGAAGCAAAGCAAAACAAAGCAGTGTATTTTTTTTATACCGCACAAATTATGAAGTTAGATTTTTGTACTTAATGCCTTTTTAAGATTAAGAACTGCTATTAAAAATTATTACTTATTTACTAAAAAAAAGTTTTAAGAAATTACTAGTAAACTAAGTCCTTTTGAAGTACATGTTTAGAAAGTCTGCAGGGTCGATTTCATGTCAACTTTCACTGGAGTACCTCAAGAAATTCATTTATTCTCCTGAAAGAGCAAAAAATTCAAACAGGAATTGACAGCTTGAAGCCAGCTGTAATACTCTCTAAGATGCAGGTGCAGTTCCAATTGCAAGTGTTTATAAAGCTCTAAGCAAAAACAGGACACATCAGCTCCCTCTCACAAACAATACTGTGTAGGACGGCAGTTAGCGTCAACGTACCTTATTTGAAAGTTACTCAAGTATCCTATTAAGCACATTCCATAATTCACATATTCAGAACTGATATGGACAATATTGCTCTGTAATTCACATATTCAAAACTGATATGGACAATATTGCTATGTTCAATTCTGGCAGCATAACATACTATCAAGTCAAGGACCAGTATTAAGGATCTGCTGTGCTAGGCTGACCCCTAGGTCAGTCTGACATAACAGGCAGTGTGTTAGCAGTGCAGGCATGCAAGACAAAATAAATGTTAAGAACAATATTTTGGACAGTCACAAGTCAAATTTATTAACTCTTAAGTTATTCATTCCAGACCTGTAACCATAACCAACTTGAAAGGCTCTTAAGAATTTTGAATCTTTGCCTGAAACCAAGAGCTCTGATAACCTTGGAAAGCACACTTTGGTCTACTGTGGGGCTGGGCACATGGACTGACTAACTAAGGCCCGGGGGCCCAATCTGTGGACGGTCTGGGAATCAGCGTGTTTTTTACATGAGTGGAATGTATCCTTTTATTTAAAATGCATCTCTGGGTTATTTGTGGGGCCTGCCTGGTGTTTTTACATGAGTAGAATGTGTGCTTTTATTTAAAATGCATCTCTGGGTTATTTGTGGGGCCTGCCTGGTGTTTTTACATGAGTAGAATGTGTGCTTTTATTTAAAATGCATCTCTGGGTTATTTGTGGAACATAAGAATTCGTTATTTATTTATTTCTTCTTCAAAATATAGTCCGGCCCCCCACAAGGTCTGAGGGACAGTGGACCCGCCCCCTTCTGAAAAGGTTTGCTGACTCCTGGGCTGGGCAATATATCAATATATTATACAAAACTGGTTTGAAGTCCGTATTGTGGTAACAGTTTTATAATATTTGACACGGTGATCTATCGCAGTGTTTCCCAAACTTTTTTGGGCAACGGCACACCTGTTTACTGAAAAAAAATCTCGCGGCACACCACCATTAAAGCCCCGCCCCGTGACGTCAGCGCGCAGCGTCACGCCGGGAGGGATGCACGAAAGTGAAAGTTTTTTCCCTCCCCCTTGCCGGGGAACCTCCAAGCTTTGGGGTGGGAGGAGGCAGCAGAGCGAGGGACTGAGGGACGGCGGCAACTGAGGCGGCGGCGGCTGTTGTGGTGGTGGCGGCGATAGCGGGCGGAGGAGGGCGGCGGCGGGCTTGAGGAGCCGTCGCCGGGAGTTGCTGCTGCTGTTGTTGCTGCTGCTGCCCGGACATGCCGGCCTCCTCCTCCTCCGCTGTCTCGCGCTCCTCCCTTTTGCACGCGCTGCCCCGCCGCTCGGCACCACCACCGCGGAGCCGCCCCCGGCTCGATGCGGATCCTCGCCGCCGCCGCCTCTCACCGCCCGACTCGCCCGCCTCCCTCCACGGCACACCAGCCAATGTCTCACGGCACAGTAGTGTGCGCGGAACATCGGTTGGGAAACACTGATCTATCGTGAATCACAATGTGTGCATGTACTATGTAACAAACAAATGTGGAAAAGCTGGCCATCACTTCGCTCATTATTCCTGCCACCCCATTGCTTTGTACTATAAAATAGAAGTTGTAAAAGGGTTCAGTTTTAGAACCCTAAGTAGTAGCATTTGCCAGGACATTACCTCATTTGCCTTTACATAGTTCTATCCTTAAATCAGACGTTGTGATATATTGGTATATCATTAGTCTACTGCTCAACGGATTGATCTTGTGACAGCCCTCTCATGATATCTATTGATTTTATTTGTGGGATTGGTCCATGTTATTCCCATTGCATCCTGTGTCCTGTCTCAACTAGGAAAGATGGAAACGTGTGAATATCATCCCATGTGCACCTTAAACATTCAAGAGGCTGCCTCACTCTCAGCTTCCTTTTCCTGTCCCACGTTCCTTTATTTTCCCACAGTTCAGGTGTCTGATAGTAGTACTGACCCCATTACAACTTAATGTCAGGCACATTTTTGTAAATTCATTGTGAAAAATTTAAGATTTTGCAGTGATTATGTATGTTTCGGCTATCATATATGCTTCAGCAATCATCTATTTTAAAGATATGGTAAGAAACATTTTTTTGTTTTCACTATAGCTACAAAATAGATCCATTCTGAAAACCTTAACACACTATTATAAAAACGACAGTGCATTGAACTGAACATTGAAGCTGAAGTTCCAAATGCAACATTAACACACACCCTTCACAACCAGTTGCCAAGAAAAAATACAATAGGAATTTAAAGCTTTGAAAAGATGTGAAGCATTCTATCCTTATTTCAAATACGAAAAAAACACATCTTCCAAGACAGAACTTTTAATCCATGCAGCCATGAAAGTGGGCCAAAAGTGCTTAATCCCATTTAGCTTAGAAACACCCTCACACATGGCTAGAAATATTACTTTAATACATACATATTCACATTCTGAAAAGCTGCTGCTTCCTCCCATTTTCATTTTCTGCCTCCTGTACCTATAAGAGCAATTTTTATTTTTATTTTTCATGCAGCTATTTTTGTGCAAGAGCACTTCTACACAAAAGAGCTGTGTAAAAAATACTGTGTAAAAAATAATAATATCATAAATATGCCTTCAACAACAGCAGGTGAAAAAGGGCGGGCTGCATCCTTCCTTTGGACTGATAGAAACAACATGGGAGTCGGGGTGAGGTAATAGATCGCATCCAGCAAAACGTCACCACCCTTCTAAAGCCTACCCACAGAATGTGCTTCAGTGCACTCAGTCATGTAATGTGTGATTTTATATTGGATTTTCTTCCCCTATTGGATTATTCAGAGACTGGGAATATCCAGATTTTGGGGGGGGGGGTTACGGACTGCTACTTGGATGAAGAGGACATCATGTGGATTCTACACACACACACACACACACACACACACACACACACACACACAGACTCATCTCCAGCATGGATGAGTCCTAAGTAAAGTAAACAGAGAACTGTTACCCCTTCAACTCTACAGTAGAACAATGCCATATGAACTTTTGACATGCACAGTTGACCTGTGAAGATCTCTGCCACTAAGAGTAGCACTGGTTGTACAATTTGGGGTTTTTTTAAGTGAGACCAACAGATGGACAGTTCTCAAAAATGCAGACAACTCAGTTTATCTACTTTAATGCTTTGGATTATCACCAATATTTTAGTACAGGTGTAAATGGCAGAGAGAAGCGCAATACAGTACTAAACTAGTGGGATTTCTTTATAGAACGACTGCACATACCTGTATGGCACATCAGTGGCCGAAAAAAAGGAAGGAGTGGGAACAATCACTCTCTTCAAAACAAAGACTTCCTAACCTACCGGGGAGGCAATTCGTACCCCTCATAAGCAGCCGCTACATTAACAAGGACCTAAGCCTACAATTTAGTCCTGTTATAGCAACTCTCATCAGTTTATAGTATGAAATAATTATTAAGAAGTGTGACCACTATAAGCTAGTGTCAGTCAGTCACCAGTACTCCATATATTGAAAATTACAGCTGTTTTAACCTCTAAAGAAGATTCCTAAACTGTGGTCCATGGGTATCTGTGAAGAATGGTGGGAGCAGCAGCAGCTCCATCATTCTAGGAAACTGGTGGTCCATTTGGAAGGTTAGTGGGACACACTAGAAGTGATGGGGCAGGAGAAACTTGAACAGTGGAAAGGATTGGAAATAAGAAAGACGGAGCATGAGGCAAATCCATATCAATGTTTTTCTGTGTATTTATTGATTTAACCACTATTGTATTTTTATGCTCTCATTATAATTGCTAACAATTCGATTGCTAGATTAAACAAAGGCCGTAACAGGAAACTGTCTAGAACCTGGCAGAATAATCCCATTAGGACATACTTTTGCTTCTGGATTTCATTAAGTAGTTTATACCCATGTACAAAATGATACTACAAAGTTGAAATATTTTAGTATTTCAGATAAAAATGTTGGAATGTAATAATGGGGGGATACAATCTATTTCAGAGAAACAGACCAGACAAGAAAGGAGGAGGAGTGGCGTTATATGTCTGGGATGTGTATACCTGTGAAGAGATTCAAGATTTAGAACCTCAAAGCCAAAGTGAGAGCATTTGGGTCAAAATTAAGGGAGAGAAGAATAACAGAGACCTCATTGTGGGAGTTTACTATAGATCCCCAAGCCAAACGGAGGACATAGATGATGCCTTCCTGGAACAGATGGCCAAGCATGCAAAAGGAAGGGAGATAGTAGTAATGGGGGACTTCAATTACCCGGATATTTGTTGGATGTCAAACTCAGCCAAGAGCATAAGGTCAAACAGATTCCTCACTGGCCTTGCAGACAACTTCATTGTCCAGAAAGTGGGAGAAGCAACAAGAGGAACAGCCATTTTAGATCTGGTCCTAACCAATGTTGATGACCTGGTTAGTGGGGTAGAAGTGGAAGGATCATTAGGCGCGAGTGATCATGCTCTTCTGAAGTTTACTATACAGCGGAAAGGAGCAGCCAAGCATACTAGGACTCAATTTCTTGACTTTAAGAAAACTGACTTCATAAAACTTAGGGAAGTGCTGGGTGAGATCCCATGGACAGTAATACTAAAAGGAAAGGGAGTTCATGATGGCTGGGAGTTTGTTAAGAGGGAGATAGTAAAAGCACAACGTCAGGCAATACCAATGAGACGGAAACATGGAAGGTGCTTAAAGAAGCCAGGGTGGCTATCTAAAGAACTTTTAACTGAGTTAAGATTAAAAAAGGATGTGTACAAAAAATGGAAAAGGGGGGAAACCACCAAAGAGGAATTCAAACAAATAGCCAGCACGTGTAGACACAAAGTCAGAAAAGCTAAAGCACAGAATGAACTCAGGCTTGCTAGAGAGGTTAAAAGCAACAAAAAAGGCTTTTATGGGTATGTTCGTAGCAAAAGGAAGAACAAAGAAACAGTGGGGTCACTCAGAGGAGAAGATGGTGAAATGCAAACAGGGGACACAGAAAGGGCTGAACTCCTCAATGCCTTCTTTGCCTCAGTCTTCTCCGATAAAGAAAACAATGCCCGACCTGAAGAATTTGGAGCAAATGATTCAGCAAAGGAAACACAGCCCAGAATAACTAAGGAGATAGTACAAGAATACTTGGCTAGTTTAGATGTATTCAAGTCTCCAGGGCCAGATGAACTGCATCCAAGAGTATTAAAAGAACTGGCAGATGTGATCTCAGAACCACTGGCAGTCATCTTTGAGAATTCCTGGAGAACAGGCGAAGTCCCGGCAGACTGGAGGAGGGCAAATGTTGTCCCTATTTTCAAAAAGGGGAAAAGAGAGGACCCAAATAATTACCGCCCAGTCAGTCTGACATCAATACCAGGGAAGATTCTGGAGCAGATCATTAAGCAAACAGTCTGTGAGCACCTAGAAAGGAATGCTGTGATCACCAACAGTCAGCATGGATTTCTGAAAAATAAGTCATGTCAGACTAACCTGATCTCGTTTTTTGACAGAATTACAAGCCTGGTAGATGAAGGGAACGCAGTGGATGTAGCCTACCTTGATTTCAGCAAGGCATTTGACAAGGTGCCCCATGATATTCTTGTAAAGAAGCTGGTAAAATGCGGTCTTGACTATGCTACCACTCAGTGGATTTGTAACTGGCTGACTGACCGAACCCAAAGGGTGCTCATCAATGGTTCCTCTTCATCATGGAGAAGAGTGACTAGTGGGGTGCCACAGGGTTCTGTCTTGGGCCCGGTCTTATTCAACATCTTCATCAATGACTTGGATGATGGACTCAAGGGCATCCTGATCAAATTTGCAGATGACACCAAACTGGGAGGGGTGGCTAACACCCCAGAGGACAGGATCACACTTCAAAACGACCTTGACAGATTAGAGAACTGGGCAAAAGCAAACAAGATGAATTTTAACAGGGAGAAATGTAAAGTATTGCACTTGGGCAAAAAAAATGAGAGGCACAAATACAAGATGGGTGACACCTGGCTTGAGAGCAGTACATGTGAAAAGGATCTAGGAGTCTTGGTTGACCACAAACTTGACATGAGCCAACAGTGTGATGCGGCAGCTAAAAAAGCCAATGCAATTCTGGGCTGCATCAATAGGAGCATAGCATCTAGATCAAGGGAAGTAATAGTGCCACTGTATTCTGCTCTGGTCAGACCTCACCTGGAGTACTGTGTCCAGTTCTGGGCACCACAATTCAAGAAGGACACTGACAAACTGGAACGTGTCCAGAGGAGGGCAACCAAAATGGTCAAAGGCCTGGAAACGATGTCTTATGAGGAACGGCTAAGGGAGCTGGGCATGTTTAGCCTGGAGAAGAGGAGGTTAAGGGGTGATATGATAGCCATGTTCAAATATATAAAAGGATGTCACATAGAGGAGGGAGAAAGGTTGTTTTCTGCTGCTCCAGACAAGCGTACACGGAGCAATGGATCCAAACTACAAGAAAGAAGATTCCACCTAAACATTAGGAAGAACTTCCTGACAGTAAGAGCTGTTCGACAGTGGAATTTGCTGCCAAGGAGTGTGGTGGAGTCTCCTTCTTTGGAGGTCTTTAAGCAGAGGCTTGACAACCATATGTCAGGAGTGCTCTGATGGTGTTTCCTGCTTGGCAGGGGGTTGGACTCGATGGCCCTTGTGGTCTCTTCCAACTCTATGATTCTATGATTCTATGATTCTATGAAAAAGGGTCACTCAATATTGTCATTGGCCTTTTCTGCGTATTGGAACAGCAGCACCATTTCCTCTTCCTTATATAGGTATAGGTATAGGAACCCCTGACCATTAGGTCCAGTCGTGACCGACTCTGGGGTTGCGGCGCTTATCTCGCTTTACTGGCCGAGGGAGCCGGCGTACAGCTTCCGGGTCATGTGGCCAGCATGACTAAGTCGCTTCTGGCAAACCAGAGCAGCGCACGGAAACACTGTTTACCTTCCCGCCGGAGCGGTACCTATTTATCTACTTGCACTTTGACGTGCTTTCGAACTGCTAGGTTGGCAGGAGCAGGGACCGAGCAACGGGAGCTCACCCCGTTGCGGGGATTCAAACCGCCGACCTTCTGATCAGCAAGTCCTAGGCTCTGTGGTTTAACCCACAGTGCCACCCACGTCCTCTTCCTTACTGCATGCAAAATCTAAAAAACATATATTATTTCTCATTTTCCTCTTCCAAATGAAGCCTACTTGATTGTTGTTTCTGTATATGTATTTGTGTATAATACCATTTGCTATTCTTGATAATGTATCAGTAAAAATCTTATACTAGAGGTTTAAGTGATAAATTGGCATGAGATAACTCATAAGTATTTTCCCTCTATAGGAATTGTCACAATAGTAGTATCTAGTCATGTTTCAGGTATAATGTACTGTTCCTCAATAGTTCACTGATTTCAATGGCTAGTTTGACTAATATAGAGGAAAAGATTTTGTAATAACTTGCTGTGAAGCCATCTGGATCAAGCATTTGATTTCTTTTGGCATT